CATCCCATTTTGGATTCTTTTGCTGGTAGTAAATATATCAGCAATAAAGTATTCGGGCTCTCCCCTCTCGGCCGTACTTTTGAACGTAGGGCGAGTAGCTTATGTTTCCATGTTTCTGGGTATTGACGCACGTTGTATAACAGCTGCGGTGAATGGCTCAAGTCTTTCGTTTGCTCGTGGACGGTACGTATAGAGGTTGACCGTTGTGTATAGTCCGAACATGCCGCGGTTGCTGATAAATACGCGTACCGCACCGCACCGAAAGAGTAACTCGCTCTCACGCAGACCTCTTTAACTCATCGCGTGTGTTAAACAATGACATATACGAATGCTATGAAGAATTGGTTCAGGTGTCGAGAATGGTCCTTGAATATCTATTTCAGTTTTTCCAAAAAGGGTTGGTAGCTCCATATCAAATACTGGTGCCCGCTCACGATGCTTGGAATTCGCCTTCACGTGCTGTTATATAAAACAAGATCCGACATGTGCCCGTGCATCAATATGCATATCAGTCGTTCTACTCCATCGTTGTCGATATATGCCCTCAAGGCTAATATGTATAGCCATTTTGCTAGTCGAGTAGTGGAATCATTCCGAAAGGGTTGTTTCTTGGATGACCTTCTGGAATCTTCCTTCAAGTTTGTCAGATTATCATTGGGGAAAGGGTTGCATCTTGTAGTTGAATCTGTTTCAATACTTCTAGGTGTGGTCCAGTGTGTGAAAGTGTGTTGATTTGGTTAACAACGCCATTTGCCGTATTAATGTGATATGTAGGCCTCAGACCATTTTTTTGGTTTTTATCCCTCTTGTAAATACTGCAGTCACGATAAGATAATCTTTTTGGATGTATTTAACTCGCTTCCATTTGATATATGATTGCCATGTGGTATTCTTGTATCTTCAGAGCTTAGTGATACAGACACTCAGACGTTGTTTGACCTAGCTATATTCGGCCTATTATCCGCCCAACATCCATATTTTCGTCGGTGCACTACTTGACAGCGGCCGTATACGCCCAGGCCATACTATGCGCCTTTACTATGCGCCTGCATTTCACTGATGTGTCATGGTAGCTGAATTTTCTTGGAAGAGTACCCCAGTGTTATTCCTAGACCTGCTTAACATGCATTTAACTTTGTACAAGAATTTTGATTGGCATTCTCTTTGTCGTCTTGCCATGGTAATCAGAGCAAGCTTGTGATCATTGAAAGCGCTTTGATATTGTTCCTTCCATTCTATGAGTCTGTTCTTGCGTCTGGGACCAGTTCTCTTGCCTCCGATCGGTTTGTATAATGGGTCAGCTCGTCTGACACATAATCCGGTATGTGCGTCTTTCCCTTGTATTCTTTGACGCAGGTCAGTTTGATAATCATTCGTAGTGGTCCAGATCTACCATTGCCTAAATATCATTGCGTATATATCGTCGAAGTATCTCTAACGGGGATCTTTTGCATAAGAGTCGACTTCATTCGGTAGCATTTACTACCCATTGTTGCCTTCATATCTGAAGGGTTTAGCAATTTCACCCGTGTACAGATAGTATGTCGTTTCTTCTTTCGCAGATGAGCTTCATGCTTTGGCTTGAATCTCAGCTGTAGGCAACTTATGGTCGACCTTGTCATCGAAGTTGGCTGCAAGAAAGATTTATGATCTACGGATACAATATAGTTTGTCATCGTTCTTGTTTTCTCTTTGACAAAACGGAATTTTCAAAACGGAATTTTCAGTATTTTTAATAATGAACAATCATCTGGAATGAAAATGAATAAGGGGGTATATATTAAAAATCGTACATAGACGCCACTTTTTTAACTTGGATCTGAATTGACGATGTATTGCAATATATGCGAGGTCCGCCACTGCCTCCGAGAGTCCAAGTCCAGCGCTAGGTGAACCCCAGTATGATGCAGCTGCAAAATGGGTGCGCACGGGTCTCGCCGTCAAAGCTGAGGCTTACGTAGCATTGGGACTTCAGTCTATGATGATTGATCACCCATGATGAACCAGCGGTTAATAGTCTGACCACACTCTTTGAATGGAGTGGGGCGTAGGGCCGTGAACTTGGGAAGACCAAATGAATAGAGTAGGTTAGCAGGGCCTGCAGTGAGTAGTCGACGACTAGGCTCAGTCTGCCTCTACTTAGAGCAGAGTGGTAGACTTAGAACTCCTGAAGGCAATACGCAGCTTATGTGGAAGACCCCTTGACACATTTCTAAGGACCCCCTGAAATTACCTACCATTTTTTTCTACTTATGCCTACAGCAAGTATGTACAGAAAAAGCTGGTGGGAAGCAGATATCTATTCTATTTCGATAGCAATACAATATTAAATATTTTAAAATCACAAGTTACACTTTCAGAAATTTACAGAAGCATGCATCCCTACTATTCCTTTACTGATCAAGTACAATCATCGGTCTGGTCTGGCTCTACTGCTGCCCATCCATCCTGGGCTTTTTGGCAGGTGGTTGACCTGGCTGTGGCATAGGCTGTTGCGGTTGAGGCGGCCACTGTCCCTGTTGTTGTGGGGGTCTCATCATACCCATACCCATGTTAGGCATCATTCCCGGTCCCCCCATGCCCATATTAGGCATTATTCCAGGGCCGAACCCAGAGCGTGGTCCCATACCCGAAAAGCCCGGCATCATCGGCTGCATGCCAGGACGCATTCCTGAGATTGTGTATTAATTCGTATGGAAGTTTAGGGGACCATAAAATTTGACAACAATAAAGTGGTGCAATCATGGTGGCACTGAGGTCACCGTTTTTATTCACGCGTGTGGCAAGTATGCTTTAAATGAAAGCTGGGCAGACCGAACATAACTTGTAGTCTAAAAACACACAATCGCTTACCTGGGAATTGCTGCATTTGTTGCGATTGCTGCTGTTGTGGGGCGTTCTGCTGTGATTGCTGAGGCGCTGTGGGTGTGGTGGTTTGTGCAGCAGTGGGTTGTTGACCCACAGCTCCTACCGCAGCTGCGGCACCCTTGGCACCTCCGAAGGCCTGAAGCGGATTGTAGTCAAATGTAAGCAATATGTCAGGGTTTGCAGCGGAGGATCGTATGTCAAGCATTTGATGCGTATTTGTGGCGCAGTTGTGACGAATTGTACTGTAATTGTCCCGTTTATTGGACATGTATCGTGAAACTCGCGTATTTGGCACCCGAGAGAAATTACCCCCAAGAATAAAAACGGGCTATGAAGCTGTGCGTTTGGTATCTGGATATAAAAGTGATATTTTGGACATGTGATTTGAAGCCGCATGTTTGGCATCGAAAGGCCAAACTTTAGAAGAACGGGCACACCAGACAATGGAATAATTTTGATGCGCATAGTAGGTTGACGAAGCCGGTGCGGATATTGTCAAATGCACAAGGTAAATCAAACGCCCGCAGCTGATGCATGGATCTAACGACATGCGGTTGCTGTATGTAATGCGGCAGACATCTGCAGTTTTTACGGTGTATTTTAATGGTAGCATATAGCTTCGCAAAGACACAGGAATTATGACTGTCAACAGAGGTACACAAGCACCAACTAACACCTAACCATGCCTTGCTATACACACCCAGGGCAGAACTACCGACCAACAATCCACCAGCTAAGACTACAAACACCACCACGCAACTGCAAGACACCAATCTATTCATCCATAGCTACAAGACACCAATCTATTCATCCATAGCTACAAGACACCAATCTATTCATCCATAGCTACAAGACACCAATCTATTCATCCATAGCTAAAAGACACCAATCTATTCATCCATAGCTACAAGACACCAATCTATTCATCCATAGCTACAAGACACCAATCTATTCATCCATAGCTACAAGACACCAATCTATTCATCCATAGCTACAAGACACCAATCTATTCATCCATAGGTATGAACAAGGGCAGGGCCCGGCAACCACTTACCGCCATTCGGGACGGGTGGATACCCGGAGTGGTCCCACTCGCAGGCTGAGGTGCAGGTGTTGTGTCCGTTGTCTTTGGTGCCTGCGCTGGTGTCGTGCTCGGAGATCCGTTGGGCTGTGCGTGTGGGTACGCCTGCTGTTTCTGCTGCTGCTGTTGCATCATCATCTGCTGCTGCTGCTGCTGTTGCTGTCTGTGTTGCATTTGCATTTGTTGTTGTTGCTGCATTTGATTGGATTGGATTAATTTGAATTGGATTGGATTGGATTGGATTGAACGATTGAAAAGTTAAGCGAGACAGCGGGAGAATAACGTTTAAATTACTACCTTTTTTTAAAACCTCTCCACTATATTTATGACCAGATAACATTCACTAAATGGTAAAGTGGCATTAGTGGTACCCTATTCCGATCACGGTAGTATAGAAAAGAAGCACAAAAACTTCTACGCTGCACTAGTGCTGGCACGGGTACAAGTGAACATGTTGTCTCATACACAACTATTGCTTCCCAGATGCAGTAACATATAAGCGATTCGAAAACACAATAGGGTTCAATATGTCGTTGTCGACATAAGCCAACCAGCTACCTACGGACAAAATTACAAAAGAAGACATTTTTTAAGGTAAAGATGTGAATGATTGTGGTTGTGTGTTTGAGGGAGTCCTCCAGACTGCGTGATTTGGTGCATTTAGTGCCCGAACCCAATGCGTACAAAGGTATCTTAGCACACATGGCCCATACACGCACAATTACACACGCACATGCACAAATGCCCATTGCCTTTTCACATGCATAACAGGCACACACACACAAATACCTATAACTGTACAGATATATTCACAAACATCCATACCGTTGTATAAATTGGCCTCTCCCCGGGATACAGCCTGTGGCGAGCCTGCCTGCTGTTACGAGACTATCACCTATTGTTGCTGTGCTGCATTGGTATTCGACACATATGCATATACACCCAAACACTCACGGACTGATATTCCATGTATGCATAATCACGCAGGTATACAGACACATATACATATATAAGTGCCTAACGACCATGTAAGTACTAACGTGCAATTGTATTTACATACCAAAAACTGCTGGTGATTGGCTGCTCTCTGGGCAGCGGCTTGTTGTGCGGCTGCCTGCTGTTGCATGACCAACTGCTGATGATGCGGTGGTGCATTTGGGTTCGCTGCTTGGTGAACTGTGGCTGTTGGTGCCGCTGCGGCGGTTTGTGGCACGCTTTCCTTACCTATTTTCTTACCTGGTGCATTTTGATAAGGAGGTATATGTTTAATACATGGAAATATAATGCGAATGTATAAATATAAACATGGATATATATATATATATATATATATATTTATATATATATATGTATATTGTGTATATATATATTGA